AAAATTTCAATTGTAGAGGTTGGATCATTAGAGTAAAACGATCATACCATTTTATATATATAATTTAATATGATGTCTTCTGGATCAAGATAGAAAACAGGATGCTATTGTCTGTCATTTCTACTGCCTACTGGAAAAGAATGATATCCCAGTTGGAGCATTCTTAGTTCAGTCTAAATTTAAACGTTTTTACCAAATTTTTGATCTAGCAATTTGGTACTTAAATACAATAAAGATATCTCTAATGGGAGTTCTAGATCAAAGAAAGTATAGATTTCAATAGACTAATTCCATGAGGCAAATCTCCAACTTTTTTAATTTAAAAGGCATGCATAATGTAGAATCAAAACATCACACATCTCATTATCCTATTTGTTATAAATTCCCTTCCTTTTTCTTTTCCAAATTGTTACTATTAAGCTACTTTGGCTCTTTTTCTCACTGCTAATTAACAGAATTCCATTGCTTAGCCCTGAGGTGTTGCTATTAAAAAGAATCTCAGAAAGATGAGGAGAAAATATTCTCTCTTATTTCATAGCTGTGGAAAAGTAGACAATAATCTTAGTTAGAAGCCTGTCCTGATAAAGTAAATTGAGAATATTCACAAAAGGGTCAGTCTTACTGCAGAGTATGAAGTGTGGTGACTTCTGTGAAAATGAGCAATCCTTTTCCGTTTTCTGTTTAACAAAAGAGTCTTGTATGATTATTGTTATTTACTTCATAGATTATTAAGAGCTGTAAAATGTAATCTATAACTAGGATAGCTGTGTAATTTATTATACCAAACAAAACCTCTTGCCGTGGAGTTGATTCTGACTCATAGTAACCCTACAGGATAGAACAGAACTGCCCCATAATGTTCCCAAGGCTATAATCTTATGGAAGCAGAATGCTGTATCTTTTTTCTGCGGTTGTTGGGTTTGAACTGCTGACCTTTCAGTTAGCAACAGAGTACTTAACCACTGTGCAGTAGTAGGGCTCTTTAATTTATTATGCACTGAGATATTGTTGAAAGTGAAAAGGTGATATTAGTAACTATATGACACCAATAGGCATAAAACAAGATACCTTTGGCCACATCAGAATGACTAGTCACTCTAACTCTAAAATTCCTTATTTACAGTTAATTGTTTTACTTCATAATTGTCTGCCCTAATAATATTTTAGTTGTTATCTCTATTTCTTGGAAGGTATAAATACTTACGAAGTTTCTTTGTTAAGTAAGAAGATGAGCTTTGGGGTATCCTTTATGCATAAAGGTGTAATAAAACTCATGACTGTTTTGGATTCCCTACTCAAAGAAAAAGTTTGAGGTCTGTGACTCAATGAGATTCATAATTTAAATTCCAGGATGCATGACTTCATGACAGATGTCCATAACCTTAAATAAGGTAGTAGTTTGCTGGTAGTGCTATCCTAAATTTGTAGAGCAAACAGTCTGCGTAAACCTCAATAGAAAATTACCTTCTAAAAGTTGATCTCAAAGATTACCTCTGGGACTGTAGTATTACTGGACAGGGCACCAACGAAAAAAAAGCAAACGCCCCCTTGTGCCAATGGTATCTGGTAGGATACAGGAGACATGTCTACTCTCTCTGGGCAAATGAAATAGGCTTATCATGTGAGTACTGTGGTTATGTGCCATCAAGTAAATTCTGACTCATAGTGACTTTATAAGGACAGAGTAGAACTTGTAACACAATGGTTACAGTGCTCAGCTACTAACTGAAAGATCAGTAGTCCAAACCCACCAGGAGCTGTGTGGGCAAAAAGACCTAGAAATCTGCTCCCATAAAGATTACAGCCAAGGAAAGATTACATAAGTATACCCATTACCACCGAGTCGATTCTGACTCATGGTGACCCCCTGGGTTTCTAAGGCTGCAAATCTTTATGGAAGTAGATTGGTTCATCTTCCTCCCATGGAGTAGCTGATGGGTTCCAACCACCTAACCATAGCAAGTATGAAAGGTCTTAAATTTTCCCACCAACTTAAAGAACATCTAAACCTAACTATTTTAAATATTCTCTGACGTCACCTACAAGCTGTTGGAACAAACATTTGTTTCTCCTTGCTATATTTACAAAAACATATTTGGGACAAATTTTGTATCTAAATTGCATTACATTTGACTCAGAAATGGAATTTAAAGTATTAGACACTACCAATTAAGTTGATCAATTCAGTTTTGAACCCAATCATGGCTGGCTATTTAAGTTATCATTTCAAAAGCATTATTAAGAGAATGGAAATTATCATATTTAAATTTTAATTTGTAAGTGTGACATTTTGAATTAAAATGACAACCAAGAAAATTTTCAAAAGATCAAATGGTCTATATTTAAGCTATGTCATTGAAATCTTTCATTTTAGAGATTAATTAAATATCTTACATATGTAGAATTAGTTATTTGACAACACTGAGTAAGGAATACAATTTACTCCAGTTTTTATGTTTATCAAAATTATAAATCTTGCTTTAAGAAATTAAAATAAAATTTCAAAAATAGCATACTGTATTTTTGCTAATTAGCATTTATGTATACACAGAATGTTTGCAATTGATCCTCATAAGGATATTAAAAACATAAAACAGCATATATTAAAAAATGTTGAAATGACAAATATTTCATTATATATATTTTACCAGTGGTATAGTGCCTAAGGCACTTCACTGCTAACCAGAAGGCTGGTGGTTCAAACCCACCAGCCACTCCTCGGAAGGAAGGTCGGGCAATCTATTTCCTTAGTGATAGCGCCTCAGAAACCCAGGGAGAGGTCGCTATGAGTCGGGTCCAACTCGATGGCACATAACAACAACAACAAAAAAATTTTTTTAAATTCTAAAAAATAGCTTCTAAAATATGTAAGATAATATTCAATATAGTTCTAGGGTTAAATGTTTTTTAACTTCAAAATTAACATGCAAATAATCATCTATATAACAATACACCTACTAGCCAACAGAGACCATAAGAGTTTTCTACTTTTATTTAAAACATTACTACTTGCTCTTTCTATATATCCCATTGTCATCGAGTCAATTTCAACTCATAGTGACCCTACAGGACAGAATAGAACTGCCCCATAGGTTTTCCAAGGCTGTAATGTTTTTAGAAGCAAACCATCACATCTTTCTGTCACAGAGTGGCTGGTAGGTTCAAACAGCCAATCTTTTTGTTAACAGGCACACACTTAACCACTGTGCCACCAGGACTCCATACCTTTCAGTATATTGTTGTTGTTGTTACATGTCGTCGAGTCAGACCTGACTCATAGAGACCCTTCTTTGGGTTTCCAAGGTGGTATCACTATGGAAGTAGATTGCCCAACTTTCCTTCAGAGGAGTGGCTGGTGGGTTTGAATCGCCAGCCTTCTGGTTAGCAGTCAAGTGCCTTAGGCACTACGCTACCAGAGCTCCTTTTTAGTATATAAGAGAATCAAAATCATTGAAAAATTTTTAGTTTTAAACAGAGTTATTAATTTGGTACTCTAAAAAAACAAACGCATTGCCATTGAGTCGATTCCAACTCTAGCAACCCTTTTGGACAGAGTAGGCCTGCCTCACAGGGTGTTTAAAGCTGTAATCTTTATGGGAGCAGATTACCACATCTTTCTCCCAAGTGGTGGTGGGTTTGAACTGCTGATTTTTCAGTTAGCAGTTAAATGCTTATTGATGTGACCATAGAGTCTTAAAAAACCATAACAGGGAAGAAAAAATATAGGAAAGAACCCAAAAACCACACATGCACAAAAATAGCAGAAAACTTTCAAAGATTTAAAGAAGTATGAGAATGGAGAAAAAGATGACCATCTCCAAGAGTCTAAAGAATGAAAAATGTACATGATGTCCTTAATTATTTAAAACAACCAAGAAGATATGAGTGGTTAGTAAAACAAATACATGTGGCCCAAAAATTAATGATTATTTTAAGCACATTAGTTTCAAGCAAAGAAAATATGGCAACCTTTTCCTGGAACAAATAGCCCAGTAGCTCTCGCTCTTTTACATCATAATTTATCTAAAATAAACAAAATAAAAGACAAAGAGAAAAAAGACCCAAGATCACTCTTTTGATAAAGCAGCTGAATCAGTAAATAAAAGGTTAACATGGTTTTTTAAAATTAGCATGTTAGAATAAAGGTATATATTTATAATAACAGAAATTTCAAGTACAGTCTGCTTTTGTAGGTCAACTAAAAGACAAATGTTTCATAGAATTTTAAAGTTAGATTGTCTTCATCTAATCTAATATTCTGTACTGAGAAAACAAGATGCCAGAAAAAAAAAGTGATTGCTCAAAGTTAAAGGATAAATTCTTAGGGTCAAAACTAGAAACCAAGCCTCTTGATTTTTTTAATTCTTTGCCTCTACATTCCCACAACAGAAATCTCTTACAAGGTTTTAATGTATCAACTATAGTATATAACAAGGGCCAACTCAATAGAAAAGTTTGCCTCTAGTTCTGGCACTCTTTCAAATGGTCTTGATATCGATTTATAAGTTTAATTATACCACACTATGGTGAAAAAGCACCCACCAGTGATGTAACAAAGATCTGTAAGTTCAAGTTTTTAATTTGGAGAGGATTATGGGAAGGAAACCCTTCAATTTCATAAGTACTCTTCTAAAAGATTAATCTAGTTTTCCCTAACTTGTCAAAACTAATCCATGAAAGCTCATCTCAAAATACCAGTTCAAATGGGCAAGATACTATATTTTAAAACTATAAACTTAACATCTAAATGCAAGAAGTAATACTTCTTCAATCAAAAGTGATACTTAGAAAGTAAGCCAGCATACACTGCCTTGAAAATTATTAAGATACAAGGGAGAAATACTTCCAACATCATGCCTAGTGAAAATGTACAATTCAAACAACATATGTTTTCAGTCAAAGATTCAAATACTTAAAAGCACCGTGCCATTTCCATTGGTCTAATTTTTCTAAAATTAAAAAAAGATAACACTATACCCTTATAAATTAAGTTGGGTTACCTTGTCCAGAGCAAACTTTGTGTTTCCTACTGAAGATAATGATAGCGTGTGAGAGCCAACAAGGACAAAGTTGCTGGTGCGCACAGCATTGAGACCACCTGGGCTAGCCATAACTGTAAAGAAAGAAGAAATGAAGTCTAATTCAGAGCAACTTTCATAAATGTCAATAAAAATTTTTCCTGTCTAAGCTAACAGTAAGAAATTAAATTGCCATAGAGAAAATTGCCTCATTTTCCTGTCTTTAAACATGGGGAAAAAAATCAAAAAAGCATCAACATATTTCTAATGAGAAAACTGGTAAGTATTTTATATTTAATTTAAGTGAGGTACAGACACTCTTAACTTTGGGGAAGGATGTGTTTTCAAAGAACAAAGAACCTAAAAATATGTGCATAAAAAGCAATTTTCTCATAAGACATTAGGAAAAGATTTCATTGCTAGTAGAAGATGGCATAATTAGCAGCAGAGACTTTCTCTACACGGTTCTGCTGACTTACTCTCTTGTGCTATGGAGACCAAAAACCCAAAGGAAGTGAGTGAAACCAGCTCCACTCCAATTCCATTTAGAAAATCTAGACCTAAAGCCATTCCATAGAAGTCCTTTTCTGGCTTATTGGCACCCCAGTACTTGGTGAACTAGAAAGATGCTTTCCTGACATGATACAATGTCTGCCATGACAGTGTAGGTAAAAGAAGTAAACACACAGTGTGGCTCCCACTGCCATCAAGTCGATTACAATGCATAGTGACCCTGTAGGACTAAGTATACCTGCCCCCATAAGATTTCTAAGGCTGAAATCTTTATGGAAGCCAACTGTCACATCTTTCTCTCACAGGCCAGCTGATGGTTTGAACCACTGACCTTTCGGTTTTCGGCTGAGTCTTTAACTACTGCTCCACCCAGGGCTCCTTATAGAGCAGACAGCATAAAGTGAATCTTCAAAATGGTAGAAGTTGGGGTGAAGAGTAAAGTACCTGCTGCATTTTTCAAGTGACTGCACATGGGGTTACCATGAGTTTGAATCAACTCATGGGCAACGGTTTGTTTGTTTAAGTATCATATGTATACTGCCTGTTAGAGCTTGATGGTGTTATTGGAATAAAGGTACAACCAGACAGCAAGCTCTTCTGGACAATATCTTATAGGTTATTAACAAAACTCACATAGAAAATATTATTTCAAAGGAGACTAAGGAAAACATCCATAAATAAAGATGGTCTATCTATATAAGTATATAATTGCTTAGTTATTTTCCTTATTCTAGAGTTTCAAATAGTTCAAAATCAACTCACCTGAAGAATGAACACTGCTTTTCTAAAAACGATATGAAAAAGAAACATAAGTTATATTAGATACAAAACTCTTTTTAACAGCCCAAGAACCACACTTCAGAAAACATTTTATCCTACATAAATATCGGGGATCCAACCTCACACCCAACACATACTACATTAAAATCAAATCCACTGCCATCGAGTTGATTCCAACTCAAAGCGACCCTGTAGGACAGAGTGAAACTGCTCCATAGCGTTTGCGAGGGTTTATGGAAGCAGACTGCCTCATCTTTCTCCCATGGAGCAGCTGGTGGGTTCAAATCACTGTGCCACCAGAGCTCTTTCATGCCCCATTAGTATATTTTAAAGATTTCCACAGTGTTAAGGGCTTAGACTCATAGCAACCCCTCCTTGGGTGTCCAAGGCAGTATCGCTATGGAAATAGGTTGCCCAGCCTTCCTTCTGAGGGGTGGCTGGTGGATTTGAACCTCCAGCCTTCTGGTTAGCAGTTAAATGCCTTAGGGACTATGCCATCAATGCTCCCAGATTTTAGAAAGGTTTAGAAATGGTTAACCAATTTACAATGCTATATGCAAGATGAAGACTTCTCAAAGAAGCTTAACTTTTTTTTTTTTTAACTACTTACTGTGGTTATAGATGTGAGGAGTCGCTTTGGAGTAATAGCCTAGAAGAAAACATACCTTAGAATATTTCCTACTAAAGGTTATGATTCAGAGCTTAAAGCCAAACACAAGATACTCCCACATAAAAACTAATTCTTAAAAATGAATATAATATACTTGAGTCCTTTATTAAAGCTTAACTGATAATGTTCATCCCTCCCCACCCCCCCAAAAGCTAAGAAAAACATTTTAATAAACGACTTAGAGTAAGGACAAAAGAACAAAGACTGGGAAGATTATAAACCAAGGTAGTGACTATTCCTTCAGCCTGCACAGTTACTACCTCACCATTCCTAAGTACTGGTTTAGAATTCTTAGTGACAGTTCACAGGAAAGCCCTGCGGACAGTGTTAGGTTAGAAAGTTAGCAGTCAAGTAAGCAGAGAGAAAAATCAAATTATCTTGTCTGAGTATATCAAGAATGTTCTCTCAGGGTCAAAATCATTCACTATAAGTTTATGTTTAGTATTCTTATCTATTAAATAACTACGAATTTGAGGCACACAAATGATCTCAAAACTTCATGTTGTTGTTGTTGTTATGTGCCGTCGAGTCAGCCCCGACTCATAGCGACCCCTCCTTGGGTTTCCGAGGCAGTATCACTATGGAAGTAGGATTGCCCAACCTTCCTTCCGAGGAGTGGCTGGTGGGTTTGAACTGCCAGCCTTCTGGTTAGCAGTCAAGTGCTTTAGCCACTATGCTACCAGAGCTCCTCAAAACTTCATAATCATGAAAAATCATACATAAATTAAAACTTATAGAATGACATCTATTATTTCTGATTATAATATTTTTACTGAGTTTCCTTTATTCTCACCTTGGACTTGGATGTTTTTTTCTTCTTCTCAAGGCCTAAGGGATCTTTCTTTTGTACCTACACACAAACCCAAAGCATAATTAGTTTTGATTAAAATCTGAAAATCTTTGAAGGGTAACAGACTACTGGTTATTTTAGAAAGCATTAACTGCTTACCAAGCTGTAAACTTCAATATTAATTTCAAAGTCATTGGACACATCTTGCCTAGAAAAAAAAAAAAAACACTGAATAAAAACTAAAGAAAAACTTCAAGTTATGCCATTAAAAATAATACTAAGAACACTACTATAAGATTCTGAGGGGAAAGGATTTCATGTGCTTTTCAATAAAGACAATAATTGTAAACCATTAAAAAACAGTAAAAATGGTAAGAATAGTCTATTTCTCCTATAATGCATGTCAGAAATATTTTTCTCAGTATTTTACAACTCAAGATCCTCAATAATAAATGTAGTCATTTTTTTTTTTCAAACTACATTTTGACTCTGAGCTTGAACATAAATCTGTGACACTAAATAGTAGTCTTTTCATTAAGATTGAATAATAATCTTTTCCACATCCTACTTTAGTGAGTAGCAACTGGGGTCTGAAAAGCTTTCGAGTGGTCATCTAAGATGCAACTATTGATCTCCTCTTGCCTGGAGCAAAGAAAAATGAAGAAAATCAAAGTCATTTGGGAATAATTAGTCCAAACACATGATGGACCATGAGGACCTCAGCCTTCATGACACCCAAGCCCAGAAGAACTAGATGGTACACAGCTACCAATGCCAACCACTCAAAAAAGGGATCAAAATTAGAGATCTTGGTTAGAGTGGGAAGAAAAATGAGGAACAAAATTCAAAAACACAAAAATGACCAGAATTACTGGTTGGATAGAGATTGGTGGAACCCCCAAGACTATGGCCCTGAGTTATCCTGCAGGCCTAGAAATGGACTCTTTTTCTGTGGTTTGGCTCTCAGCCCAACAGTAGAAAGACTTAATGCAGAACATCTACCCCAGGGAGATACACCCCTTAGATCAATCAACCATGAGATATCAGAGGGGTAGCATTCATAGAGGGAAAGCTGGACAGATAGGAATGTGTAGATAAGAAGGGCACAGGGAGGGGTTAGTGACAGGGAAGAGAGGGGAGGAGAGTTTTTTATGGCTGTGAAATCAAATGTACATGAATTATTGAATCTAAAACAAATATGCTTTGTAAATATGCACGCAAAGTATAATTTTTAAAAAAAAGATTGAAATAATAAGTACATTAATGAGATTTAAAGCATATATTGGGAGCTCTGGTAGCATAGTGCTTAAGGCACTTGACTGCTAACCAGAAGGCTGGTGGTTCAAACCCACCGGCCACTCCTCAGAAGGAAGATGAGGCAATCTACTTCCGTAGTGATACTGCCTCGGAAACCCAAGGAGGGGTCGCTATGAGTCGGGTCCGACTCGACGGCACATAACAACAAACAACAAAGCATATATGAAAAAATTTATGGTTCAAATTTTAAAGATATGTGTGTATATACTGAAAAGTGAGCTACTTGTCCACACAAAAAAGACAAACATGAATTTCAAAGATGATAAATACCCTCTGAGTTGCTTAAACTGTATTAACTCTCTTAAAGAAAAAAATGTGTCTGACTCACGAAAAGCCTAGTTTACTTACAGAGTAAATATAGTCGTGAATGTCAGGGCATCTCCATTAAGAGAGTTCGAAGTACTTGCTAATGGTGTGGCCACCATATTTTCAGCTCCTGCTTTAAGTATAATTAAGTAATAGTAATTTGCTGCATCTGTAAGAAGTAATCACATTACATAATTAGCACACAAGAAAAATCAGATGTAGCTAATCAGCATTCCAGAACATCAAAGAAATAAAGTATTACCGCACCTGATTTATTAAAGTGTATTTAAAAATTACTAGAGTCAACTTTCCAGAAATAAAAAGCTAAATAAGACATAAGCAGACAGCCATAATCATCACCCTATCGTGTGAGTCATAATAATTTAAATTCTGCTATCCCAGATTACTTCACTCCACAGGCCTCAATGTCTGCCAACCTTGTACTTTATCTATTGACTCCAATTCTTTGGCTAATAGTATATGCATCAAAGGGGTAAATTATGGTTTGTTATTTCAAAATTGAGATGAAAATACTATATTTCTGTGAAAGTTACTCAGAGATAAATGCTAGTAAAAATATGAACTATTTTTTCATGTTCTTATTAAATAATGAAATATCTTAAGGTCCATGTTAAATTACCAATATATTTCTGCCTGTTTCCCTCATCCAACCTAAACCAGACAACAGCAAAAATTAAAATCTGGGATGTCTAATTCTACAATAATGCTCAAACTTCTAACAATTTCCATTCTTTATTCTCTCTGTACCTCAAACACCATCTAGCCTTCCCTTCACTCAGAATTTCCACACAAATAAAAATTTAAACAGACCTTGAAAAAAACCACTTATTTGACATTTAATAACATTTATATTTTATTAAACTTGCTATAGTTATCCTGCCCCTTTTTCAGATCCTGGTGCTGTATTTCTCCTCACCTACTTTGCTTGTATGTTATTACTAATAGAATACATAGTTCAGAAAAACTTACCATGGTTATTCATTCTCCAGAGACAAAGGAATAAAAATCTTGCCCCTACAAACTAATAATTCAACATCTACAGTACAGATTTCTATAAGGGGTGAAGTTTAACTGGAATAAAGTAAAATAAAAATTAAGTTCTGTTAGATGCTCCACTATTTTCTATAATAAAATTAATGAACGAAAGCCAAATGGTCTGCTGTTATGATAACTGATCTCTAGTGTAGTGCCTAAGGCACTTGACTGCTAACCAGAAGGCTGGCGGTTCAAACCCACCAGCCATTTCTTGGAAGGAAGACTGGGCAATCTACTTCTGTAGAGATACCACCTTGGAAACCCAAGGAGGAGTAGCTCTGAGTCGAATCTACTTGACTGTAGTGAGTTTGGTTTTTTTTTGTTTGGTACTCTCAGTTAAGGTCATGCACATTATTGTATGGATCAGTAACCCCAATTATGAAATTTTCCCTTAGTTATTTTTGTGCACATATTTTGATAAAAGGAATTAAAGGACCAAGATATATTTTGCATCTTTATGCATGCTCTACAGTTTCTGTCTTGTACCACTCCAAGCTAGTGAGGTCCATAAAGAAACAAGTATTCTAGAAGTGATGGGAGCTACAAATCATACCTGGTTTCTGAGCTGTACTGCAGACAAAATCTGCTTTCAGAGGCAAGCGAATTTCTGACAAAGTAACTGATCCTTTGGATGGGATGAATTCGCTTTGGGATACGGGACTAGTCTTATTCTTTCTCTGAGGTCCTTCACTCTTCAATTTATTCAATTCATCAATCAAAAGCGTTCTCTTCTCAGCTGCAGAAAAATATGCACATTAATATGTCAAATGTTAAAATGGCAACTCTTTCTAAATGAGAGCCCACTCAAGAAATAGCACTGACGTGGCAATTGTACATAAGTCGAAAGACAAAGCCAGGAAGTCTTTCTACAATTAGATTGTTAGGCAAAACTTGTTTTTTCATCTGTTTACCAAGCTTTTATATTTTGGTCTCTTCTGTGGTATAATCTCTCTGCCTTAACACCCCCTCCTCCTCCTAGTGTCACCACCACATATACATATACAACAAAATCACATAAACTTCTTTAGCTTATGCATACATGCTCTCCCTACCCCAACTCTCTCTTTCATATACATACATATACACACACATATATACATACATATATTATGTATATATCTATATGTATGTGTATCCAGGCACACACACACACACAAACATATATATATACCTTTCATGCAAACTACACTGTATTTCATATATAGAGTTTCCACAAACCCTTAAGCACAAGAAACAAAAGACAGATCAACTGGAGGGGATTTATCAGAAAAAGCCTTTTCTGTAAAATTAGACATTTCTGAATACACTAGGTAAGACGAGTATTTTCTCTGGCTTGAAAATTTATTGAGCTTATCTCAGGTGCATTGCACATACTTGCAATCAGAAGAAGTCTTTCTGCCTCAGCTTCTTCTAGTGATCCTTTTCCATGCTCTCCATCAACACAACAGTTAAGAGCCTGGCTAGCTTGATAAATCACTGTCTGCTGCAAATTTATTTCATTATTGAGGTCCTAGTGAAACCAATGGAGGAGGGGAAACACATTTTTAATCACCATTTTCACTTTAATTCTATCAAATCTGATTGGACAATTTCCAAAGTTTCCACAGAGCAAAAGAGTCAAAACATTAATCTAATTGGTTGAGTTAATTTCATTGACTATGCACCAAAATATTGAACATTCTATACAGATAATTAAGCTATAAACATTCTTCCTTATTAAAACATTTCTAATTTATACTTAAAATTATAACTGGGGCTACAGTCTACAGACTAAAGATTCAGAAATGATCTGACTCACTTTATTTAAGTTACTTATACATTGTATTTTTAAAAGTGATTTAATGCTTTCTTATTGTAAAAGGACCTCTAAGAGCAAAATTGGCAGTTCAAATCTACTCAGACCTTGGAAGACAGGCCTGGAGATCTGCTTCTGAAAGGTCACAGCTTTGAAAACCCTATGGAGGGTTCTACTCTGCACATATATAGTCTCTATGAGTCAGAATCGACTCAATGGCAACCAACAACAAAGAGCAAAATGTATCTCAGCCCTCACTATCAATTAATAGTCATACTTTAGAGATATTTATGACAAACAAGTTTAAAAATAAGTATTTCACCAACATCAAGCAATCTTCTGATTTTCCAGTAAAGAGGATCTTTTTGAAATCCAACTGAATTTGATTGATTTTCTGAACTCCTACATGTTATACACTGATCAGGTTACTCAGGGTACAGAGATGAATGAGGCTGGGCCCTTGTCTTCAGGGCTCACAGTACAGTGCAGTAAACAATCCAAATCCCCTTTCCACAGAAGGACATACCTGCATTTTCTGTTTGATATTAACTTGACCAGGAAAGGCATTCCTTTTTTCATCTAATTTTGAAGTAATATCCTCCTTCCGAACAATCACCTGCTTTATTGAAGGACGTTCTGTTTCTTTGAATCTTTGAGATCTATATGCATCAATGCTTCAGCAAATATAAGTTATATTCCATTAGAAAACCAGCAACACAATGAACACTATCCTTTATTGAACATATCAACAGAACTTCACCAGAATGGAAAGTGCCATTTGGTGAGATAGAGGCCAAGGAAAATTATTCCAGACCTTTATGCAGATAAGTTATTAATGGCATTGCAATTATGAATTGTAATACATCTTGCTATGTCAAGAATCTAAGCCATCTGGATCCCATGTGTCTGTCTGTAGAAGATAAGTCACCTTTGTAGCTAACATCAAGGTCAGCTGCATGCCATTGCACCTTCCTTAGTCTTGATTGCCCTTCCTGCATTTATTGGTGTATTAAAATGAGTGAATATGAACATTAATGACTCCATGAGCCTGGGCTAATGGAAGACAGTAGAGAAAATGAAAAAAAGATCCATTGGAGGATACCTTTTAGGGGGAAGGAGTGAAAGGGGAGGGAAATGACTAATGAAGCTAATTAAAAGAAGCATTTAAATCTGCTTTTTAGCCTCATTAACAATTAGCAGGGTACTGGCCAGAGTCTGTACCCCCTGTGTTTTATCTTAACATCATTCTATTTGCTCTTTTTATATCTAAATGTTGTAAGTAAATGTGCTTCAATCAAACTGAACATGTGATAAAGGAAAGAGATGTGGCTTTTGTGATATTCTATCATAAACATTTTTATTGTATCTCTGTAAAATACAAAGTATGTATGCATGTAAGTGTTTTTGTCCTGATGTTGCTAAGTGTTTTTGTCCTGATGTTGCTACTCCCAGGGTAGAGAAAAAGAAAAAGAGAAAAGAACAGCAACAACAACAAAAGAAAAAGAAAAAACACTGGGAAAAAAAAATTAGGCTCATAGCAGCTACTGTGTAGAAATTTTCCCCTACTCCTAATTTGCTGAATGAAGAAAAAAATATTTTACTTGTGATATTTTCAGAGACATTTGCTCTAGTATTGTGTATTTAAATAGTAAAAAGTTAAAAGGAAAAAGAAAAAAAAAATCTAAGGCATGACCCTTAAAGACTGAATGCCTTCCAAAAACGTCCTTACCTATAAAGAAGATCACGATCTTCAGAATCAATGCTGTCACGAGACTCTGCCCGAGGGACACGGGTTCTTTGGAATTTTCCTGGCTTTGGACTTTCATCACTTATGCTGGCATCTTTCAGTTCTAATCTAGGTAAGAAAACTAAACCCTGCAGAGAAATCATCAAGTATTGGTACATGTTAAAGCTGCTATACGCAGGGTCGCTATAAGTCGGAGCCAATTCAACGGCACCTAACACCAATAACAACAACAAATAATTAACACTGAATCTAAGCTAAATTAATTATTCTCCATTATTATTAAGAAACAAATATCCAGTAGGTCCACTGCTTCATCATAAAAATCAGGAAAACTATGATAAATTCCTAAAAAGTAATTTAATAAATAAGAGTATCAAGAAAGCTGAAACCTACATTTGCAACTCTTTTTAAAAATGACATTCCTACTCAAATCAGTTTCCAAGCAGAGCTATAATTATTCAATTTAGGGTGACAGCTCTTAGTAAATGTTAGTTATGTATCTGGCCATAAGTGCTAAGATATTAATCTGATTTAATATTCACAACAACCCATAAAGTAGCCATTATTATTAACCTTTATTTAATAGATGAGGAAACTGGGCATAAAGAGGTTAAATAACCTGCACAATAAATAGCAGTAAATGACAAAGCCAGTATTTGAGCTCAAATGTCTAGCCATTTAAGCCATGTTATAGAGTTTGGATTTTATCCAGGGACAACAGAAAGCCATTAAAGAGTTTTAAGCAGAGAACTGATATCAAGTCTGAAAACTTCCTGACTCCAGAATGCCAAATTCCCATCTACCAACCAAAAATAAAGTAGAGGTTCCAATACTAATAATTTTCTTTATGCCACATTTACATTTAGTCTTTTCTTACCTCTGGACTGACTACCCCAACTGTCTGTGCTAACGGTGTAAGCAGAGACATTGAGGAGATATTCAGTGCATCTTCCTGTTCCTCGCTGGTTTCTGCTTCTACTTGATCCATCCCTTCTTGACTCTTTTCCACACCTAGTTCACCTTCCTCTAAGACATCACTGAAGATGTCATTAATAACTTTTGAACTATTGATATCATCATCGTCATCCACACTCATCTCAATTTCACGTACCACTTCTGAAAAATATTGCAATAGATAGATACTATGATTCAGACTCTTATGAATTAAAAGCGATCTAACTTTAAAAGTAGTCCTAACATTCATATGTTTACTAAACAAACAGGGAAAAAAGCCCTAAGAAAAACACCACCTAAACAAAAAAAATTAAAACTTTACTAGTGCCTCAGGCACTTGACTGCTAAGCATAAGGCTGGCGGTTCAAACCCACTAACCACTCCTCAGAAGGAAGGTTGGGCAATCTACTTCCATAGTGATACTGCCTCGGAAACCCAAGGAGGGGTTGCTATGAGTCAGGTCTGACTTGATGGCATATAACAACAACAATACATGAAACCAAAATAATTTTCAAAGTTCCAATGAATTTTCCAAGTAATAAAATTTGGGTCTATAAAAAGCTGATTCACTGCTTTGGGTTTAAGAAAGAATGTTAACTCAGAACTCAAATTACAAATAAAGCTTCAGACTCCCAAAAAATGCTCTTTAAAATAAATCTTTCTATTATTGGGAGCTCCCCTCTCCCATGGTATGCCCAATAACTTTGGGCAAGAATTGTCAATCTAGGGTTCAGCGATAGAGGGATTACCAGCCCCTGAGGTCTAACAGTATATGTTGAGTGGGGGAGGGCAGCACACAGCCTTTCCTGTGAAAGTCAGTGATAGCTTTAATCAGATTCTCACAGGGGTCTGTGACCTAAAGATAACTGTTAACAGTACCATATCTTTGTGGAACCTAGAGCTTTTCCTACTTAAAAAAAAAAAAGAGAGAGCGAGAGAGAGAATATTATAAAAAGACATCATGAAATATAGGAACCCTGTATATTTTAATATGTGCTTCTATTAATAGGTTATATTTTTATGGTATGTCCAAAGGTAATAAGAAATAAAGAATAAAAACCAACCAGTCTGCTGGTCAATCTTTGGGTCTAATGTTACTTTTAAGGACTTGTCTTCTTCTAAAAACAGTGTTATTTTCAAAGGGCTAGACTTCATCATTTCACATTCAGTTGAACCTAAAAAAAAATTAATGACCATATTAATACAAGTATCTAGAATTTTTTAGCTATGGAAGCTTATAATGCTTTTTCTGATTATAAAATTATTTGATTGAAAATATTCAAATTTTAAAATATATAGAGAAACCCTCAAAACATCCATCCTCTCTGCTCTCTGCCCCATCTCTGTCTTCCTCTCTGACGAGAGAGAAAGTGCCACCAGAGAAAAAGGGCCACCAACATTACCAGGCTGCTGTTTGTTCTTCCAGTTTTCCCAAATGCATGCATGTGTGTATTTATTTATTTATTTTTTGGTTGATCAGAAGGTAATCATACTACGTATGATGCTCTGCAACTTATTTTTCACTTTAAAAAAGTAACCATGACAAGGCATTACAGACAAAGCTACCTAATGGTTTTAAGCAGCTACATAATGTTTGATTACATGGATTTACCATAATTTATTTCACCAGTCTTCTATTGATGGGCATTTGGGTCATTTTAATCTTATTACTATTACAAAGAGTGCTATAATGAATCTCTTTGTACATACATCTTTGCACACTAGTTCTAGGAATTCATCTTACAGAAACACTTGCAGAAAAGCTGAATTAAAGGGCTTGCACATTTTATAAGTCAACAAAAATTACTGCGTATTCTCCACTAAAAGGTATGGTAATTTATACTCTCATGCAGTGTATAAGTTCTCACTTTGGAAAGAGAACTAAGAAAAAATCATATTGCACAAATAGAAATTAAAAAATGAATCTGCCTTTTGATACCAGAGGAGCACTTCTGCTTTCCAAACACAAAGAAAATGATGATAGACTGAAAGCCATATTTTAAATGAAGTAGCAACAAACCTTCAGGTCCTAGGCTGGAAATTTCTGCTGGTGTCTGATTTTCTGTCACCTTTTCTGTTATAGGAAGTGACAGAGTCTCTGAAACAACTTGAGATTTTTTGAGGGGAGTGTTCTGACAGTGAATTTCCTGCAAAAAGTAAATGAAATCTTTTTTATGTTATTAAAGAAACCAACAAGAGTCAATATTCTGTATAAGCTTTCTCAGATCAAAAGAGATCATGTATTTGCAAGGGCCCAGTCGTGGACAGACTACCACAGGCTCTCAGTATCAGTGCACATAGCCTTAGTAATTCCCAGTATGTAAAATCATTTTTAAAGACTAACATGCAAAAGGGCATTAAAATTTTCATCAGAATTCAGTTTTAGATAAACCAATTAAAGTGAAAATCACACAAGTAGAAAAACAATTTCTCTTCTATCACTAAGCTCAACCCACACCTATAAAATCCAATGACAGTTCGTACTTCAAGATTCCATTTAATTATCAGTTATTCAGTGGGAAAATCCAGAGAAAACAAAAGAGGATAAAAACAGATCAGCGGGTAAGGAAAAAGGAGAGAAGGGGAAAAATTCCCTTTTTTGAGCTTGTAAAATCATTTGAAAGGCTACAGAAGAGTTTTTTTGTTTTGTTTTGCTTTATAATTAAAGCAATAGTAGAGATAATAAGAATATAAGATTCACAGCAGCCAACTTAACATAGGGTTTAATACGTGCCAGTCATCTTCAAACTACTTTATGTCTATTGCTTCACTTAATCCTCCCATAGCCCTATTAAGTTAGGTACTATCATTATTTCTATTTTACAGATGAGAAAACTGAAGCACAAAGGGGTTAATTAACTTACTCACACAGCCAGAAAATGGCAGAGTCAGTATACAAACTCAGACAGCCTCATTCCAGAGCTAGTTCCAGACTATACACGTAGTCCCCAACTTAAGGACATTCACAAGTTATGAAGAACCAGACTTTACTGTGAAGATTCTGCTGTGACTTGATAATGCCTCAGGATATCCCCCTCATGTAGATGATCTAAATTAAGATGTGAAAGTGCTGTATCTACCTCTCAATATGACAGTTGTGATTCCGTCTATGGATCAATTTGTAATCACCATTTTCCAGGCACACTACCTGTATTGCCTATTGCTTAGGCAATAGCTGCAACAGATGGAGGTATGGTAACAATACATGATTTGTAGAAGAATTATAATATTCTTCAGTGTGTCTGGAATACTTCATCTTCTTGGGAGGAAGTTACAGGAAAATGCATTCTGGGGATTTGGGAAAAAAATGCTGACTAATGTGAACACACTCCAAGCATTTGATCAGGATAGTATGAAAGAAATTGGTGGAAAATCATCAATATGGCAAGAACACTGAATTCAGAACATGATATCACCAATTTGAGATAGTCAATAGATCACAAAGAAGGAGAACTGATAGATAGGACTTAATGGATTTTGAAGAGGAAAGAAATGCTTAAGAAAGAAATACCAAAGAAGGAAAGAAATTGTCAAAATTTTACAGTGTAAGATTAGCTAGAGTTTTTCCTAATCTAAATTATGAGCTTCAGTTGCTTGAAAATATGGATCCTAATACCGATCACTTTCAAGTCCACAGGCAGATTCCAGAAGCAATGAGATTTACCATGAAATTTATGAAGAAGAAAAGGAAAGGGCTATGCAGACAACTCTCACTAATTTTGTGACTAGAAACACCATCCCCATTCCCAGGGATAATCCAGTGATCCAGAACTCTCCACACATGGAGTTACTGCAACTGACAAAATGCCAACATTATCCAATTCTTCTTCATCATCACATTTTTATGATTTGTGTATTTTTATGTTTGTAAGTATGTATTAAAATATATCCGTAAGTTTATGTGTAATGTTTTTAACTTTCAAAGACAAAGATCGGATTTATAAATATGCTGATAATAAAAGACAATAATAATGAAAACTAAAAAAAAAATGTAATCAACTTAATGTCAGAACCAACTTTAGGATGGAGTCATCAGAACGGAACCCCATCATAAATTGCCGGCTACCTGTTGTCTCTAAAGTAGAAGCTTTTGATGAATAAAAAGAAAGTCAATGACCAAATGCTGTATGAGATAGAGTAAGTACATTTCAGAGTCAGGAAGAATGGGCTGAATAAAAAGCTTAATGTACTCCATACTCATTGGGCCCTCAAATATGTGTTGAGTAAATGAACAAATTATTTTAGCAGCAATGGGAAGCAACTATATTCATTCTCAAGGCTAAATAAACCCAGCATGCCTTACACCTCATCACTGTGGATCACTGCCTAAAAGCAAACATAGTCATTAAAGGAGAAGGTTCTGGGCTCAGAAGGTATGGTTTCACCATTTATCACCTCCACCATCCTGGACAAGTGATTTACCTCATTAGGCATTGTTGTTGTTGTTGTTGTTGTTGTTGTGTGCCATCGAGTCGGACCTGACTCATAGCGACCCCTCCTTGAGTTTCCGAGGCAGTATCGCTACGGAAGTAGATTGCCCCATCTTCCTTCCGAGGAGTGGCTGGTGGGTTTGAACCGCCAGCCTTCTGGTTAGCTGTCAAGTGCCTTAGCCGCTATGCTACCAGAGCTCCCCATTAGGCATCAGTCACCCAGAAAAAAGGGGAATCATGTTATTACCTAATTCACAGGGCTATTATGAGGATTAACTGATATAATGTATAAAAAGTGCCTAGCAAAGTCCTGACATATTGTAAACCAAAAAACCCATTGCCATCAAGTCAATTCCATTCTTAGCAACCCTGCAGGACTGAGTAGAACTGCCCCATAGAGTTTCCAAGGCTGCAATATTTACAGAAACAGACTGCCACATCTTTCTCTCATGAAGCAGCTGGTGGATTCGAACTGCTGGCCTTTTGGTTAGCAGCTGAGTACTTAACCACTATGCTACCAGAGCTCCTTTGGCATATTGTAGACATTAAATAAATATTAGCTATTGTAATAACCATGAGTTTCATCCACATACTGCTCTGTCCTTGCTCTCCTCTAAGTCAAATTCCCCCAAATCCCTCTCTCCAAAATCCTTTAGCATGTCCAAAGAATCCTCTTCCATGGTGTGGTGGTTATGTTTATGTGTCAACTTGGCGGGCCTGGTTGAGTGGCTGGGCAGCTGGTGGTAGTTATTCCCCATGATGAGACTGGCAATCAATTCCATGATGGCATCTACCACAAGCAGCTGAGTAGCTGCTTTGGGTATGTGGTATGCTTCCCATTTATAAGCAGCAGCCTTGGGAATGGTCTCTAGCATATGGCATGCTTGGACCCTGCATGTAGCTGTGTTGTTCTTCAGCAGCCTGCCATGCTCTGCCAACCTTGGAACTTAAAATGAACTTGAATTAATGGCCTGCTGTGTGGTTTGGTAACATTGGGACTATGCATTTTTATTTGTCAACTTTGGGCTTCTCAGTGTCAGCAGCCAACAGCTGTCTGAGTGAAGAAAAGCCTCTAGCTTCAGTGAGCCAGAAGCAGAAGGCAGAGCTGGACCCCAATATTGAGGGGCTTTCGCCCAGCCCTTAGATCCTGGCACTTTGAACTTGGACTTAAAGCCTTCAAACTGTAAGAGAATAAACTCCTGTTTGTTCAAGCCATCCCATTTGCAGTATATTTCTGTCACAGTGGCACCAGGTAACCAGAATATATGGTAAACAAATTTCCTTATATCTTCATCCTCTTCACTAAATGATTTCTTCACTTTCTGGCTGTAACAGAAACATGGATCCTTTATGAAGACAGGATTTACCCTACAAATCTCTGACATAAAAGTCACTGTCTCCCCTAAACCCTGTCAATATCAGAGCCAGACTCCTCTGTAGTCTCTAATAACATTCCAATGCTCTTATTAATCCTCTTTTAAAAATTCCTGGGAGATCTGGCAAGATGGCGGACTAGGCAGAAAGACTGCACAGACCCTCTCCAACAAAGAAAAGGGAAAACAATTAACACAGACACAGAAGATAATCCTGGACCCCTAGCCTTGAAGGGAAGGATATAGAAATGGACTAAACCCCAACGAGCAGAAGAATTTGCATGAAAATACCAAAAAAAAGAGAAACAGACAGCGCTGCGGTCTGGCAGCGATCCTGATGGTGCAGACAGCTTAGAGATTCCCGAGTGGTGGTAGGACCTAAGAATTAACCTAAAAATCACCCTGCTAGC